GAACTGTCCCCTGGAGCAGGACCCCTCCATGACACATGCAAAAGGAATACTGATGGGAATGACACTTGCATGGCTGAACAAAGAGGCCACCCTGCTTGCTCTCACCTGACAAGGATCATAGCCCTGAAGGTGTTTTGAAGGGAGTGATGGATCCTACCTTTTTTCCTTTTGGGACCATAGAGATGTTTTGAAAGAAGTGGAGGAGGTAGTTGCAGCATTTTGAACATACTATTTGTTTACCTTGAAATGACTAATTTTCAATTAAAATCTCACCTCCACTTTAAAAACATTTTACTTTGGAGGTGTATGTTAATGGGAAGAGCGCTTGCCTAGCATATGTGAGGCCGTGGGATCCATTTCCAACATAAAGAAACAAAATACTGTCAGTATTTTGAGGTAATTAAAGGAAAAAACACTGTTTTTCAAGATTCCCTAGATGGGCCGAGTGCAGTGGCACACACCTGTGATCCCAGCACTCAGGGAGGCAGAGGCAGACAGACCTTCTGTGAGTTCAAGGCCAGCATGGTCTACAAATCGAGTCCAGGACAGTCAAGGCTACCCAGAGAAACCCTGTCTCAGATAGATAGATAGATAGATAGATAGATAGATAGATAGATAGATAGATAGATAGATAGATAGATAAAAGATTCCCTAAATGGTCTCTGTGCACAGGGGTGATTGCTTGCCTGTTGCCTATAGATGTTACACTCCAGATGAAAGAACTGGGCTGTCCTTGAGTGGTGCTCCCAGCCCCCACGTGAGGAAGGAGAATATTCAGATTTGTGCCTAGTACAAAGGGGCTAGAAGGGTGGCATGGAAGTCCTCTGAGGAGCCAGTTTGCACTCCTAGCCAGTTATTCATCTGTGTAGTTCTGGGAATGCTGTCTTTTTGTTTCATGTAGCTGTCTACTGTTCCATCCAAACATTTAGGCAAGGGGAACTTTCTGAGACTCTCCTGTGGAGCTAGCACAGTGCTGGCTAAGGATAGTAAGATGGGCAGAACACTGTCCTTAAGCTTTGGGGAGGAAAAATGAAGGGGGAGGAAGGGACATAAGGGTTGGGCTGGGGCCTCAGGGAAAGCATGTCCAGGCAAGCCCACCTTGCTAAGGGTACTAGGGGGTGAATAATAAATGCAAAGTTATGGCCTCTGAGGGGTCCTATTTCAAAGGCCAGCAGACAGAGCAGTCCCTTCACACAGGGGAGAGGTCACTCCAGTTGCTCAAAGATGCCAATGGTCAGCAACACACACACATATACCCATTTCTAGGTCCAAATGTTCTCTTAGCAAGTAAAGATAGGTCTTGGTTCCTGTCATATCAAGTAGGTATCACACAATAAGCCAAGGCCTTCACTCCAGGCCTCTGTCAGGACTCCTTGTAGGACACTCTTTTATCCACCCTCTCCTACTCCGAAAAAACATCACCAGGGCTAGGTTCCTAATCCTTGTTTCATCACTTAAAAGAGAGAGAGAGAGAGAGAGAGAGAGAGACTTATGGTTTAATGCAAGAGCCCTTGCCTAGCATGTGTGAGGCCCTGGGTTCAGTGCCTAGTGCAAAACAAAAACAAATGCTGAACAAAACCCCCAACAAAAACCCAGATGGATATTTTGGGGCTGTTGAGATGACTCTGTGGGCAAAAATGCTAGCTGCCAAGCCCAAGAACCCTAGTTCTATATCTGGAACACACATAGTGGAGGAAGATGACTGACTCTCAGATGTTGTCCTTTGACATCCACACAGGCCCCCTCACACATACAGACACACATGCACCATGAATATAAACATGTAAAAGGACAGTTGGAAAACAATTAAAATGTACTTTTATTATTTTAAATATATGCACAATGATCAGATTGTTCTTGAGCTGCCCAGATGGGTACTGGGACAAAGCTTGGGTCCCCAGGAAACCAGGTAGTACTCTTCACAGCTAAGTCATTTCTTTTCTTTTTTTTTTTTTTTTTTTTTTTTTTTAAGGACAAGGTTTTTTTTTTTTTTTTTTTTTTTTTTTTTTTTTTTTTTAAGGACAAGGTCTTGCCTTCTTTGTGTACTGCTGGGAATACATGTATGCCATACATCTGATCTGTGTGGGAATGGAACCCAGGGCTTCATGGTGCTGGGGTGGCACTCTCTCAACCCATATTCTAGCCCCTGGATAGATTTCAAAGAAACCTCCCTTTCCCGTCCTCCCTCTCCTTTTACCTTTTTGATAGAAAAAAAAAAAAATGAATTACTTTAGAAAAATATGACATACTGCCCCCCCCAAACAAAAGAGTTTTTCTTTAAGTGAATGTTAATAAGCAAAAGAATCCCTGACCAGTTTGAAAAGGCATTTATTAGAATTCACCCATTCATCTGACAGACATCATTATAGGCTATTTTAGCACTTTTTTTGGGGGGAGTATCTCTTTATTTTTTTGAGACAGGGTCCCGTGTGTTTGCAAATGCTGGGATTACAGGCATGCATTGTGAAGCCTGGCTTGTGCTGTACTGAGTCAGGTTGACCCCAGTATTTTGTGCATACCCTAGCTGAGCAGCATCCTCACTCAATCAGTGAGCCTTTCGGTTAATAAAACAGCTTCCCTCGAGGATCTCTTAGTTCAAGACCAGCCTTCTCTGCAGAGCAATTCCAGAACAGTCAATGCTACACAAAGAAACCCTGTCTCAAAAAAACAAAAAATAAAATAATAACAAAGCCCCCAGCTTCCCTCAAATGGGAAAGGGTTGTGTTCATAGGCACTGGATAATTTTGAAATTTTGAGGGGTTTTCTTCCCTCCACCCGGAAAGAAATCTATCCAGGGGCTAAAATATGGGTTGAGAGAGTACCACCCCAGCACCATGAAGCCCTGGGGTCCATCCCCACACAGATCGGATGTGTGGCATGCTTGTACTCCCAGCAGTACACAAAGAATGCAAGACCTTGTCCGGAAGGAAGGAAGGAAGGAAGGAAGGAAGGAAGGAAGGAAGGAAGGAAGGGACAAAAAGAAAGAAAGAAAGAAAGAAAGAAAGAAAGAAAGAAAGAAAGAAAGAAAGAAAGAAAGAAAGAAAGAAAGAAAGAAAAAGAAAAGAAAACTGGGCTCCAGAAATGACTTACTGGGAGAGCTGTGTCTAGCATTCCCAGCGAGGAAAAATAAATGATAACAGAAAAGCAGCCATGGTCTATGTCCATGTGGTCAGCCTAGTAGGAACTGGTGCCCTACTGGTCAGTTTATTTCTTTCTCCTGTCTCCCTGGCAGCGGCGAGATTCACTCACAGGAGCCCCCAACACTCTCCACCTCTTTGAAAGGCATTACAAGATGATGTCACCCTCTTGTGCGGAAGCATTTCACCTGACCACCCTATCGGATGTCTTCTAGCAAGTGGCAAGTCAGGAAAGAAGGTTAAGAAAGGGTATCCATAAATGTGTTTTAAGGAATGGTTCTCCCACCTGTAAAATGAGAGCGAGTGTGGGAGACTTTGGATTCTGGTCCTTTTGCAGTTCTAAGACCCAGCTGTTCTAAAAGTCAGGCTTTTAATTTTAATTTTTAAAATATCGGTGATAGGAGCTACGTTGCATGGCTTATATCTTTAATCCTAATAGTAGAAAGGCAAAGGCAGGCTGTGAGTTCAAGACCAACCTATTCTATACAATGAGGTCCAGGAGGGCCAGCCACAGACTGTCGAAAAGATGAAATTGGGGAGTGCAGAGGGGTGGGGCAAGAAAGGACCGTGGCCTGACTTCTCCGGCAAGTATCAGGTGTCACAAGCAAACCTGCCGTGTAGTGATGCTGTGCTTGCCTGTCTGAACTGGTTTTGGATCCTGCCCGCCGGGCCAGAGTGTCTGATGCAAGTTTGGTTTTTTCTTCCATCAGGGTCCAGGACCAGTGTCTTACACTGATAAAGCCTAAAAATAAATAATAAAAAAAGAAAAGAAAGGAAGAAAGAAAGTTCGTCTGACTCTGCGCCTACCCGAGGCAATCGCTATCAGCCCTCGAACATCGCTTTCACGCTCTATTTCCTGTTGCCTCCCCTGAATGATGAAACCCCTGATGATTATTGCATTCTGGCTTTTCCAAAGACCTCGGTGGTGGGTTCCACTGAATTACCCTGGTCTTTTTTTAACCCAAAGCCTGAGAGGAGTTCTAGGACCCGGTGGACGCCAGGGCCTCTGCCGCAGCGGCTGGGGTAGAAACTAGCCCTGCAATATTCTGTCAGGGTCAGTGTGTTTCATTGTGGGTCCTTGTTCCCTGGACCAGACTCTATGACTCGGGGGCCCGTGAATTCTAGCCCCTACCTAAACCCTCTGCTTGGGGACAACCTCGCATGGGAGATCACTGATGTCCTCATGAACCCACCCACTCGGGGCTGTAGATTAACAGGAAGACTGATTGTGGGACGTGGGAGCCATCCGGCTCTGGGTTCTCTTGTCTTTGGACCTATAACCAAATGTGCACCGCCTGTCGCCAGCAGAGAAAGCGTGGGATTGATGCTCGCGGGACAGCGAGGTAACGTCTGTCGCCGCGCCACAGTCCCACGGGCTTCCACTTGTGCGTCCAGTAAGTGCCCTTGGCCCTCCCTCCTAGACGCTGGGGGTACTTGTCTTCCTCTGCTTGCTGATCGCCACTCCTGGTCCCTCAACTCTTCGTCTCAGTACAATCAGGGGCTATCCCCTCCCCCAGCAACATGACCCTATAATAAACAAGTCTTTCCTTGAACCTCCCCAGCCGCGAGCGCCCTCAGGGACCTTGGCAGCTGCTGAAAGCCGCCTAGGAACCCTGCCAGAAAGGGGGTGTGGCCGCGGCTAAGGGGCGGCGGGGGGAGGAGGACGGGGGTTTGGCCTGGAGCGTTCTGGGGCCTCGTGGGGGCGGGGCCAGGCCGCTGTCACCAGGCAGGAGAGAACGTTGCGAACGTGCGCCCAGAGCCCATTGGCTGAGGTGGGCCACACTCCCGGGTCTCAATTGGGCCGCTACTTGGAGGGGGCGTGGCCTCCCCGAAAGAGCCCTTATAGGCTGCTGCTGCTGGTGCTAGGGATCCCAGCAGGCAGGGGGAGGTGCGAGAGGGTTCGGAGGACAGGCCCGGGCAGCGATCGGGGATTTGGCTCAACCTTCGAGAGGCAGGGCGCGGTTGTCCACAGTCCTCGCTGACCACACAAGTTGGTGAGTGTCCCTCCTGGGTGTGCACATCTTGAAGGGGAGTGATCTCGGCTGTTGGGGCCCCAGTGCCCTCAGTCCTGTGCAACGCCGACACTGAAGCCGGATCCTTGTCCCTTCTTGTCTTTCAGCGTCTTCTGTGCTCCATCACCCGAAGCTCAGTAGCCAAAGCCCTGGCGTCTGACCTCGCCATGCCTAGCCTTTGGGATCGTTTCTCGTCCTCCTCCTCGTCGTCCTCGTCCCGAACTCCAGCCGCTGAGCGGCCGCCGCGCTCCGCCTGGGGGTCTGCGGCCAGAGAAGAGGGCCTTGACCGCTGCGCGAGCCTGGAGAGCTCGGACTGCGAGTCTCTGGACAGCAGCAATAGTGGCTTCGGGCCGGAAGAAGGTGAGCAGTAAGCCGGTGCCCAATAGGATTTGAGAGGATTGGGAGGTGGGGACAAACCGAGCTGAACAAGATCAAAACCACCTTGGCTTCTCACCCCAGCATGAAAACCAGATTACTCCGGGGTTGGAAGGCACGAGTGTGGGGCGGAAACTGAGGCACAGAGTGGGAAGGAATGCTCTGTTCTTAGCAAAACTGCACTTCCCCCGCCCGTACTGCTCCTGTGGGAGCCGCTCTAATACCCTTCCCTGTGTTCTCTCTTCCAGACTCCTCATACCTGGATGGGGTGTCCCTGCCCGACTTTGAGCTGCTCAGTGACCCCGAGGATGAGCACCTGTGTGCCAGCCTGATGCAGCTGCTGCAGGAGAGCCTGTCTCAGGCGCGATTGGGCTCCCGGCGCCCTGCGCGTTTACTGATGCCGAGCCAGCTGGTCAGCCAGGTGGGCAAGGAACTCCTGCGCCTGGCTTACAGTGAGCCGTGCGGCCTGCGGGGGGCGCTGCTGGACGTCTGTGTGGAGCAAGGCAAGAACTGCCACAGTGTGGCTCAGCTGGCCCTCGACCCCAGCCTAGTGCCCACCTTTCAGTTGACCCTAGTGCTGCGTCTGGACTCTCGCCTCTGGCCCAAGATTCAGAGCCTGTTGAGTTCTGCCAACTCTTCCTTGGTCCCGGGCTACAGCCAGTCCCTGACGCTGAGCACCGGCTTCAGGGTCATCAAGAAGAAACTCTACAGCTCCGAACAGCTGCTCATTGAAGAGTGTTGAACTTGGTCCTGTGAGCCACACTGCCCCCAAAGTGGAGACAAGGAACTTTTGTGGTGGAGACCAGCAGGCAAGGGCTGAAGGACTGACTGATGCTTGTGTTAGAAAACTGACAATAGCCACCTGCAGGGTGCAGGGCCAGGTGGGAGAAGGAAGTGTTGTCAAGAAAGGTCTCTAGATTGTGTGCAGGTGGCTTACTGTTGGGGCACATGTGCCTCAGTACTGTAGCATGAAACAAAGGCTTAGGGGCCTCACAGGCTTCTGGCTGGATGTGTATGTAGCATGTACTTTATTATTTTTTGTATACTGACAGTTACAACAGTAGTGTGACAGAGCCAAAAGGGGCAGCTGGTCTGCACTAGCCTCTGTCAGGGGTGTGTGCTAAGGAAGGGTTGGGGGATGTCTCCAAGATAGTTTGTGTATCTCATGGTCTGCAAGGACCAAATGTGTTTGTTTTGTATCTTTTGTTTTCGGGGATCGGAGCTTCACTACTGATCTGTTCCAGGCAGCTATCTTACAGACGCATGAATGTAAGAGTAGGAAGGGGTTGGGTGTTAGGATCATTTGAGATCTTTGACACTTGAAAAAAATAACACCTGGGAGCTGCTGTGTCCAGCCCATCCCCTGCTGTGTACTGGAGGATTGAACTGTGAGGGGATGGGGCTGAGGGGGGTGAGGGGCTGGAACCCCTTCCCCAGAGGAGTGCCACCTGGGTCTTCCATCTAGAACTGTTTACATGAAGATATTCACGGTTCATGAATACACTTGATGTTCAAGTATTAAGACCTATGCAATATTTTTACTTTTCTAATAAACATGTTTGTTAAAACATTTGAATCTCCGGGAATAAAAAGGAGAGGACTGGTGATGCTGGTGAAGACAAGTTTCATCAGATTCTAGGGGCCACTTGTGTGTTCCTTGACCCCTTTCTGGACTACCTGGCAGCCTGGTGACAATGTGGCAGACTGTGCCATCAGGGCCAAGAACCCAGGTTCCTTTAGCTCTGCTGGCTGGGCTTCTAGGGGAATGTGCTGGAAAACACACCAAGGTGAAGGACGAGTCAGACCTCCCTGGAAGGCAGAGTTTCCATAAAGAGGGTTACCTTCACCAGGTAAGGAGGCCCAGACACATCCTCCTTAGCCTAAGGCCTGAACTCTGAGGAAAGTCTAAGCTGATCTGGTGTACACTTGAGTATGATTTTATCTCTGGGTATAAAAAGGTTAAGAGAAGCTTGAAAAGGACAACTCAGCTCAAACCTCACTAAACAAGGAACCTAGGCTCCGGAGATGTGGCCCAGGCAGGCACAATGGTAGAGGGCTCAGCCAGACAATGGACTGGATTTGAGTTCTTTATCAGAAGTGTTGGAGTTGAGACAAGAAAACTAAGGCCTTTCTCACTTTCTAAATGACTCCAGGGTCCACCCACCCAAACGACCTTTGGAGAGTTACTGCCTCCTTTGTTTCTCTTTGTGATCATTGATGAGCCTTGTATACCCTGGACTGTAAAGTGGTTCTTTACTTTGCATCCTTTTGGGGGTCTTAGTTAAAACTGATACCTCAGGCTGGGGATATAAAACCTAGCATGTAAAAGGCCCTGGACTTGATCTCCACATATCCCACAAACCACAAAATAAATCCCTTCAGTGAGTTTAAGGCAGGGATGGGGGTGCGAGGGTAGAATCTGTGTTTTCCTCAGGGATTCTATCCAGGGCCTGAGACACACATCCCTTTTGTAGAACCCTCAGAACTTATTCCCCTGAAATGAATGAACCTGAATTGGAAGCCAGATGTAACAGTCAGTGTACAACTGGAATCTCAGTATTTGGGAGGCAAAGGCAGGGGGATGAATTAAAGGCCAGTCTGTGCTGCAGAGTGAATTCTAGACTTTCCTGGGCCACATAATGACTCTGAGACCAGCTTTAGCAATACAGGTTTTACTTTTCTTTCAAAAAATACAGTAAAATAAAATAAAGCAAGGAAAGAGATTAGACATAGCCTCAGGAAAGTCGTCAATTATCTTAGTGCACCTCTTAGTAGCTATCCTGAGCAGGGTGGATAGGGCACTGGTGTTCTGGAATGTCTTACGTACAGAGAATGGCCATCTCCTTGGACAAAGACTGACCCATGCTCACTCAGCCTGAGGAAACAGCCCAGCCCTCCCTCTTAGCTGACAGGCACTGGTCAAGAAACTGAGACTATGCCATTGCTTGTTCCTCTCTGTTCCTGGTCAGGAGCAGAAGCAAAGAAAGCCATGGCCAGGCCCTCCCCAGCCTTGTTATCGCCAGGGCTGAGTGAGATAGTTCAGTAGGCCCTTCCTTTTTAAAGCTGGTCAGGTGGAGGCAGGAGGAAGGGCTGGTTCTGTAGAACCAGTGTGACCAAAATGGCTTTTTCTAAAAGCCTGCTCAGTCCCAGGCTTTGGTCTTTCTTGTTGCCTCTGCAAGGGACATGGCTGCCTTTCCCTTAAAGCCCAGAAAAAAGTACAGTCCTTTCAAGGCTGTCCTCTGTCTCCCCCACCCCCATCTTTCACAATGACCATGATGAAATCTTGGCAGTCCTAGATGTCATTGTATCTGCTTGTTCTGTACCCCACTGGCCCTGTGGGGTGCTCTTAGATTCTTCCGGTGTGTAGTGTCAGAGTCTTTAGCTACCCACTCCCTCTAGACTCAGAGAACACTAATTTCTTCCAACATCAGCCTTGTGAAGAGATGTTGTAGAGTCATTTAATTGTTCAGTATGCCTACTAGCTAGCTTAGAAAATTATTACAAGTTAAAGTCTTTTGTGCTGAGAATTGAAATACAGAGCCATATACACGCTAGACAACTGCTTTAGCTGAGCCGAATTCCCAGACACTTAAAGGCTTGAGGTCTTGGAGAAGGTATGTCTTTTGTGGCTAGGGCCATGTGATTTAGGACTGATGAGATTTTGGTTCAGACCCTGACTCAGACATTTTGTAGCAGATAAACTAGAACAAGTCACTTTATCTTTGTGATCTGTAAAGAGGTGATAATATTGGGAAATTAAAGAGGATATCACTGGGGTCCACCATGGGCAGAGGCAAAGCCAGCTCTGGGTTTGAGCAGTACTGGCTTGATGATCCAGGGAAAGGCAAAGCCAACAACAGTACAGACACCAGAATTGTACAATAGATCATTATAGGATGTGGTAATAATCCCCAAGTGAGGGATTTTTTTATGAAGGATTCACAGATTAGACAGCAGGACCACTCTATATTGGGGACTGGATAAGAAGTCTTCATCTTCACGCCAATCAGGGCAGCTCATGAAGATTTCTGGGGCAGCCTTGTGGCCACATGATGGTGGCTATAAAGATAAAAGCTGCTGGGAATGTTGTTTCATTACAGACCTCACCTATTCAACCTGTGTAGAAATATTGAATGGATCTGTGGGAACTTCAAGAGAAAGACAAATGGAGTAAGACTCCTTAATAGATTACACCATAGACTTAAACCCTGTTCTCCAACCCCTCTTCTTTCATGCATATGCAATTATAGGCAAAATGAGACGTAGGACACAAGAAGATAAAATGGTACACCCTGAACTCTCTATGCCTAAGTGCCTAAGCAAAAACATTCCAAAAGTATGTTTATAAGTGATCAAAAGTTTATAAACCTGGACTGGAGAGAAGGCTCAGAGGTTAGTAATCTGCACTGCTCTTGCAGAAGACCCAATTCAGTTCCCAGCACCCACATAGGCCAGCTCATGACTGACTATAACTCCAGCTACAGGGGGGTCCCAAGACTTTGACTTCTTCAAGCACCTGCACTTACGCACATGTCCATACTGAGACACACATATATAATTTTTAAAAAAATAAAAATTAAATTCTTTTTATTTCTTAAGTATATAAACTTTATTTGAGCACTCGGAACAGAAAGGTAGGAGAATCAGGAGTTCAAGGAAGCCATCATGGGTGACAAAACCAAGGATACCTGAGAACTTGTTTTAAACAAAACAAACAGCAACAACAAACAAACAAAAAAAAAGCCAAGCAAAAAAAAAAAAAAAAAAAAAAAAAAAAACAGGACATCCAGGGATACACACACACACAGAGAAACCAAAAAACCAAAAAACAAAACCAAGCCTGGCGCAGTGGCACCTGCCTGTAGTGAGGCAGAGGCAGAGGCAGAGGCAGAGGCAGAAGAAGAGGCACATTTCTGTGATTTCAAGGCCAGCCTGGTCTATAAAAACCAAAATCAACATTTTAATTCAAAGTATTCTATAGGCCTAAAGAGAAGAGCTAACTGTATAAAACTCTTAGGAGAAAAGAGAGACAGATTGTCCTCTCTTGTGTGGACAGATATTGCATGGATGGTATTTTTGCCTTTTAAAAAAGTGAGGGAGTGGTCACTTACCTATATGTGTGTGCACCAAAATCGAAAGACAAATCAGACTTTGCCACAGGCTAAATGGCAGCTACTTGAATTTAGCATGATGACACATGCCTCTATCCCTATACTTGGAAAGCAGAGGCAGAAGGATTTCAAATTCAAAGCCACCCTGAATTACATAGCCCTAGGCCCAGCCTTCAAAAAACCAAGAGCTGGGGGTCTAACTAAATGGTAAAGCATTTACCTGGCACATGTGCACAAGCCCAAGGCTCTTATTCCCAGCACCACAAAATAAAAATAGACATTTAAAAAATGCAGCTACAGGTGGGTGTGGTAGTGCACACCTCTATTCCCAGGAGGCAGGAGGCAGAGGAAAGCAGATAGAGCTCTGTGAATTTGATTCTATCCTTGTCTACGTAGTGAGTTCCAGGCCTGCCAGAGATACACAGTGAGACCCTGTCTAAAACAACATCAACAACAAAATGCCAGCTACTTAGAAGGCTGAGGCAGGAGGATAGCTTGAGCCCAGGGGAATCAAGGTCAGCCTAGGCAGCACACATTTCAAAACAATTACAAGAGATGTACTAGAGACACAGTCTACAGTGAGCTGGGGGACAGGCTCCATGGAGGCCTAGATTGAGAACTGGGCATTCTGCCAGCCCTGGAGTGACAAAGCAAGCTCAGCTTGCAGAGGCTAGGTCACTCATATTTGCCAGCCACTTTATAGTCAAATTACATCATCAGCCCTACAAGGCTGTTGCTGCAACTGTTATCTCGATTTTACAGGTGAACAAAACCAAGAAACATGGCAACAAAAGGAGCCTGGGCCAGCAGAGGAGTGACCTGCGGCTTGTGTGATTTCATCACTGTCCCCTGTTTCATCATTTCTGAATGTAGAGGATGGATGACATCTCAAAGTAATTTTTTCTTTTCTCTACCTCCCCTCCGGTCACCCGCCCTGCCTCTTTTGGACCCCAGTCTGGGGTGGAGGGAGAGAGGAAGAGCCACCTCACAGGTCACGGGGTAAATGCTTGACTGCTTTCTGGGGTGAGTCCAAGTCTAAAATGAGTTCCCAAAGAAGAAATTTCCATGGCCCTTCCCCCAAGGAGGGATTTTCCACTCTGCCTAGGCAGACATGCCTCTCAGGGTCCCCAGAGTTTGGGGGAGGCAAACTCTTGTTGAATAGCTTAGTCCAGAGCTGGAGGTGGTGGAGGAGAAGGGTGAGATTGTTAGAGAAAGAGGAAAAGGGGTGGGGGAAGGTTACCCTGATGCTGTAGAGCAAAATAGTCTTTTAGAAGAATCCCAGCCAGAGACCAACATGGATAGCAAGCATCAGGCTGAACTTCCTAGAAGAGGGTGGGAAGCAAGGGAGCAAGAGAGATCAGGTGGGCAGCTGGAAGTGAAGAATAGATGAGAAGGGGGACATCATGGAGCTGTTTGACAGTTTTCATGAAGGGGGGGGGGGGGACGGACCATGCAGTGG